ACATGTAATGATTCAGAAGACTGAATTAAAATATCTTAACTTGTAGATTTTTGATAATAATATGAATGACTAATGTATTAAAAATTTTATAGGAATTAAATTTCAAAATATTTCAAATAAATATTTAAATTAATATCATGATGAATATATTATCTCTTACAGATTATTCTCGTTTGAAAGATCTTTTCTATTATTTACTTATAAGGTCAAGATACAGCGTAATATCGATAAGATGATTTTTTTGCTTCAAATTGTTATAGCAATTCAATTATAGGAATGATAAATATCTATGGTATATGATTAAGTAAGTAAATTATATTTCTATTTCTTTACTTGAAATTGATAGTTTGTTCAGAGGAGAAGAAAACACAACTCTTAAGCAAAAGAAATAAAAGAAAATAGTAAATTGAAAGAAGTTTATAAATCATTGCTGTCTAGTTCATTAATTTTAGAATATTGTTGATGTGTTATTTATTTCATATGAATACATAGATCAGATAGATTGATCCAATCGATAATTTAGTTTTTTTATCATTTCATTATCTAACATTACAAATGCCCTTTGCTTTTGTAATTATATTATTAATTTTCATAAATTATAAATTTAAATAATTTGAGTCAGTTATAAAACTGTTTCTACTACATTTTTATACGAAAAACTCTACAAGAAAAAAATTTATTTAGAACTATCTGTGTGGAACAAAGAATTTGATTAAAAAATAGTTCATCAATTCTAGAGTATCCCTTTTCTTTTTTTTTGTAGAACTTTGTAATGGATATGATCAGATCATTTCTTGTTTACTGTCAAAATTTATTTTTCATTATTTCGGAGAATTAATTAAGTTCTATGATTTTGTGTTGTATGTAGAGAAACGAAGAAATCTCCGATATTTAAATCAACAGTATATGTTTTCTTCTTTCTCCGTCTCTAGCGATGATCATTTATCGTTATTTATACATTTTTGTTATTCTAGATCAAATTCAATGTTCAATATACTGAAAGTAACAAGAAACTATTTTTCTAATTATCGTTGTGTTTGTAATGAATGTTTATCTATTTATTTCTTTTATTTTTTTGTAATATTTGATTTTGAAAATATAATTAAAACTGTTACTTAATATCTTGTTAAATAAGGAAGAAACGGCAAAAGAGAGAAAGACTAATTATCAGCAGCATTTGTGTTTTCTTAATATTCAAGCGCACTACAATATTTTACTGCATTCATTCTGAAATCAAATTGAGACAATGCTAGATTTGAGCAAACGATCGTTTTGGAATTTTACATTGAAAGATATATTAATTATTATATCTTCAGTTGCTATACCCATAGCTCTTGCTATTTATACTGCAATTGGTTCTCAACAACAAAAACAACAAGCTGAGAAAAAACAAAAGTTTGATTTGGAACAATCAACACAATTAAGACAACAAACACTTTATGATGAATTTTTAAATAATATCTATAAATTAGATAAAGATGGTTATCTCAATGACACAAAAAATCCATGGGCATTTGCAAATGCATATTATCGTGCTGCTCATCGCCAATGGGACACAATACGTAAAGCAGATGTTATACAATTTCTTAAAGAAAAACAATTAATTGGTAGAAATAATTGTACTAATGGATGTCGAACAACAAAATTAGATGATATAATTCGTTTAAATGAGTTAAATTTTGATAAGGTACATTTAGCAAGTGAAACTGGTGTATTAAATAAGTTGAATTTACAATGTGTTTCTTTTGACCAAGTATCAATGTCAAATGGGGAGTTCTCATCTGTTAATTTGAATGGTGCATCATTTGATGGAGGGCGATTAGATAAGGTGAAATTTGATGGTTCATCTTTACTTTGTGCTAGTTTTAATGGTGTAAATCTGGCGGGTGCAGATTTTGGAAACTCAAATCTGACAGGTGCACACTTTTCAAACAGTGATATGACAGGAGTTAAAATCACGAAGGATCAAATGAAACAGGCATCTTTTGACAATGTAATTATGTCAAACGGAAAGAAGAGTGAAATTACATCCTCAACGACAACAACATCACCGATAACAAAGCCATCAACAACAACAACATCCTCATCAACAACATCAATCGGTCAGTAATATTTCACAGGAATCATAGTACCTTTTTTAGTTGTCAATCGATCAATTGTTCTTTAGTTTGAGAAACTATACCATAAGAAGTTCCTGTTTTTGATTTTCTGAATATGTTTGATGGTGATAGGTAATTTTCAGACACTACTTCCTTTTAAATATTATTTTCAAAGTTAGTCATATTATATGTTTGTAGTGTTACTAAAATAGTTTCATTTACTTTTATCTTTATGAGATAGATTTATGTAGAATTTTATACGGAATGAAATTCAGAATCTTTTAAGGAAGAACTGAGCTCGAAGCTACAGCAACTGGTGATAGATCAACGAAATACAAAATTTATTTAGTTTCAACTTTATATGTAAATACCGATCTTTGTATGTTAGATTTTACTTTTCTATAGATGCTTAACCCTTCTTATATCATGCGAAAAAAGTCCTGTGGAATACCATACATGGATATTTCTGTCCATAGATACAAATCATAAAAAACTGGACCCTAGTCAACTTTACCATTAGTATATTAATTAATCTGACATATTAGGATTCTCGCTACACATTTCACACACAATATTCACACTAGTGTGCATTTTAGACACATATATTGCGCATTTATAGCACTCGGTGCTAATTGTACTAGCCTTTTATTTGCATAATTCAAAGCTTTATCATAATAATATATATATATCTATAATGCCTACAACATATATACGGTGAAGTAGATGAGAAGACAGAAAAAACACCATATATAGGTGAATCATACTATCATATGAATTTTTTTCATGTACAAAAAACGTTGACTTTTTCAGGAAAAAGTAAAAATTTATTGAAAAAGGGATATACAGTAGATGATAGACCTATAAAGACTTATATTCTAAAAAGTTGATATCGACTAGTTCAGGTCTTCATCAAAAACTAAGCATTTTACACACGTATGGACGAAAATGCCCATGCACGGTATAAAAAAGGTTAAGCTAATGGTAGAAATAGAATGATAATTTTGAGCTCTCTATATGTTAAGAACTCTCCCCCTCTCTCGCCCAACTAAAGGTTGATTTTCATCAAAAAATTGAAGTGAAGATAAATCCATGGGAACATAATCCGAAGTTTGCTCTTTTAGAAACTATATGACTTTTTCTCAGTTTACCCTTTTGTGATCGCGCATCTCAAGGTTCTTTATTCCGGCTCGTGCTATATCTTTAATTTTTCTATTATTTGAAAGAGCATGCCCAGATGCAGAGAATGATGTTATTCTTTTTTCCATTGCTTGTTTGTATTCTTTTTCTCGTAGACAAGAGTCCAGTAAGAATAAATTGTTTGTTTGCTTGTGTGTCCGCAAGATCAAAAAAAACATCGAAGACCCACTTTCAGGAAAAGACACTTTTTGAGGTATTTCGATGCTGGGAATTCAAATGTGAGCCTCATTTACTCACGCTACTAAAGACGGAAGGAGGGGGGGAGGGGTTAATTGAGAAAAGTGACGTGGACTGATACATGTAGAAACCGAGTTCTTGGATAATGCATTTTTATGAGTATTCAGATGCTCCCCTACTTGTAGTGCAGAGTGTGGTGATCTTAAACTGCCGGGTTTCTTGTGTATCAGATTACTAACACTTAACTTATTCGTTAAAGACTAGTTCGACAAAGCCACTGGTGCCGACGGCTCAAATATGTTTTGATCTGTGTTTAACACTGAGTAGAATGCGAGTATGTCACAAGAGTAACGAACAACAAAGGAGAACAAGGTTTTCACTAGTTTTTCCAGTAAATGTGAAGAGGATGCATTTCTACGTGAAAGCGCTGAGCGAGTCCTCAGACGATCATTACTTGTTATACATAGGCATATATATAGAAAAGTATCCATTTTCATAGAGTTTTCTAGGTCTTCAACTTTGTCACTTTTTTTCACGTAAAAATAGGCAATTTAAAAAAAATGGGCAATATCGTTCCCTGTATCTTGACATGCTCTATCAAATAACAAGAATTTAAGGATACAAGATGAGCCGATACAAAACACTCTGGGATGCTAAATGAGCTATTTTTGATGCTTTGTTCGATAAATATATTTGTTAACGGTATGGTATAGGGCTGAAATTTTTACTATAGCCCCAACATATCCTGAAAATTTCAAGTGATCTGGATGTACCTGAATCGAGATAGTTCTCGAAGTGATGACGGTAAAAAGGAGTACCTTACAGACAATGAATACAGTTACTATGGATATTATATGAGCTAGCTCTAAATTCAGAACGAATAGTGCATGAGGCTTAGCAAAGTTTCACCTATCACCGATCTACTGTTCTACAAGAAACATCCATTTATCGTTTCATTCTTTGTTTTTCTTAATTATTTTGAGAGTCTGATGTCTCGCAAACTAACATGCAAGAGTGTGATTCACTCTCAGTTTTTTAATATCTTATGAGGTATATGTATGGTCAAAAAGTAAAGATTAAACCATTGGGTGTGGGTATCTTAAGTATACTCCCTATTGCTAATGAACACCCAAACTCCTCAGGATGTTCTTCTGGTACCGACTGTGTTAGTAAAGTATGCAGTGGCAACCAATGTCTGGGTAATATATAAGCAATAGTCAAAGAAAATGCTGTTATCAGATCTGTTCTTCTTTGTCTTAGTTCCAATAAATCATGATTAGAGACCGGCTTGACTGGCCATGTCGGTCTCTAATCATG